AGTAAACTTTGTATGTCATGTCAATTTATAATAAAAGCTGAAAAAATCCCTTTGTTTTCTATTTATAAAGATGCCTTTTCTATATGTACCTTTGATAGATTTTGAAGATTTCATGTAAGCTGGTTAAAAAGAATTTGAATGGTACAGTAGATGTAAAAACAAAACAAACCCCCAAACTCCAAAAAAATCCCAAACAACCAAGTTCAGTTGTTTAAATGAACCGTTGTTTTTACATTAAATGTTTATTTGAAATCAGCTTTTGTACATAAAGTTCAGTAATATAAAATCTGCCATGATGGTTGTCCGGTCATTTTGTGTGCATGCAGGAAGGCCACGAGCAGCACCTTGTATCGACTTTCTCTTCCGCATGTCTTTTAAAATTTGGATACGTGTTCTTCCTTTGCCAGATTGTTACAGAGGTAGCTAAGTTTCTGTCCAGTCTTTTTTTTTATTTTTAATGTGTCTCCATAAATTACCAGGTTTTTAGCCAGATTATAAAAACTTTCACTCTTCTTTCTTGAGGTTAGAACTGAATACCTGAGATGCATCTGTAAGTTCTGTATTACTGTTGAGAACTGCAGTTTATATAACTGAAAATGAAATCTATCACTCGTGATGCACCGGTTAGAATGATAGGAGTTGCGAGTTTTTTACGTGAAAGTGGTTTTACAAGATACTTAGTTTAAGTCAGTATTGGTTTAAACTACTGGGACTGTAGAGGATGGATACTCCAGGTACTACAGAACCAAGCAATTGCACTGCTTGGCTGATGAGTAACTATTGAATAGCAGACACTGAAAACCTTTTTCTGTGTTAAAAAAAATTCAGATACTGAAATATAAGATATGACAGCTAGATTCTGTAAACTTGACTTCAGACTGCAGATGTCCAGTATGCTTCTGTCTCTAAAATTGGCAAGGTTCTTCTGATCTAGCCTTCAGGATGTTCGTGGCAGATTTGTATGATGTTTTGTATTTAGTGATCATCTTAACAGGTCTGTGAACTCCAAGTTGGAATCTAACATATGGCTGGAATATTTAATTCCGTGCATTAAATACTATATTCAAAATTTTTAGATGAAGTTAAGTTGTTAACCTTCAATGTATGTTGCTGTGGGTATGTCTCAAATGTAGTCCTTGAATTTTTGAGGGGTGGGGTAAAGATCCACTGCCTGGAACAAAGCAGTTGCAAATAATGTGAACTGTTCTGATTACTTCACTAATCACCAAAACAATGCAAAACCCCCAAATCATACAACCCACCCTAAACCTGCAGTTTGATTTTGAGAATGCAGGAGCCATTCTGTGAGGGCAATTTTGACAATATTGTTCAAAGTTAAGCGTTTCTTAATCTGCAGAACAGTTTGGTGCCATCAACAACCAGTGCTTGAACGAAGGTGCTCCTGTTGGACCAGACCTCGTTATAAACCTGATACTGGGTGTTGTCACAACTGAGAAAACAAGAGCTTTGAAGGAAGCAGGTAAGTGCCTTCCATGGCTGGTACCTGCTCTTCTCGTGTTGCTTGAGACTGAAGATGCAGTCTTTAGGAGATGGGCTCAGCATCTTAACATGAAGTGTATTTAGGAGAAAAAGCTGCCATGTCAGCAAAATGATGTACTGGTTTCACAAGTTATTTTTCCTTTAAAAGTGACCAAAGAAATGGAACAGGCTGCGGGTGAAGCAGAACTAAGAATAAAGCAAAGCTGTGTGTCAGTCCAGCAAGGACGTTATCTGAAGGAGATTAATGACCTCTGCTGTTTGCTCAGTAATAGTGGCCAAAAACTACTATTGTATAAGAGTTGCACCATTTAATGCAACTGTAAGGAGATGGGAACAGCAAAATAGAGACAAATCAGCTGTGATGCAATATTGAGGAAAGCAGTTTACAGATGCTGTAACTAAGTTTTAAAAACAAAGGAAAATTATTTCTGCAAGAGATGTCAGTTAAGATCAGAACTTCAGCTGGAAACCAAAGTAAATGCATGAATGAGAAACCTAAAACAAAATTGTTTAGGACTTCTGAGGGACAGAAGATGAAAATTATAAAAAAAACCAAAGCTGCTCTTAAAAATGGCTGCAGTGCTACAAAATACATTTTTATTTCTTGTGAGAAGAACACAGTGATGCTCAGCTTTATGCCTTAATAAATAATTTTCTAGACCATGCACAGTTGAGGGATAAAACTTTATTTAAAAAAATTCAAATTTCACTTGACACATAAGTCTTGAGGTAAGTGAATGTACTAGCTTAAGAAAACACTTTCAGGATTGGATTTCGTAAGCAGTTAACACTCTGTTGCTTGCAAGGCTCCAATAACTAGAGGTGAAAAATTGTACAGGAAGTGTCAAGTTTTCTATCCAGCAGAACTCCGCTGTGGAAGAACAGAATTTCAACCTTTTTCATTCAAGCCTCTTCTGATTATTTGCATACTTTGTTACTTGGGTCTCTTGCCCTGAGACTCCACCCCTCCCAGGTTTAAAAGGTGCAGCTCTAAGAGGTGGCTGAACAGTACCTAATTTGCAATTTGGAAAGCTAGGCTTGTGCTAAATAAAAAAAAAAAAAAAAAAAACAAACAGAAAACACAACCCAACATTGGCAAGCTGCCCTTGTTCAACATACAGCTAAAGACTGAAGTCAGAAAAAAATTTTTCTATTGCCATCCTCAGCTTCCAAGGGGAGCAGCAGGGGCCTTCTGCAGCCCTTCCCAGTTATCTTCAGCTGCTTTGTGTGTATGTTCTGAACAAACTGACATGGCATTATCATCTCTGGAAGTACCTGATTTCAAGGCTTATGTTTTATTTTCTAATATGCAAGTAAACATCCTGCAGAATCCATGGTCTGACTCGCCCCTCCAAAAGCAAAAGAAAAGGGACCTGACCTGTGGGTACCTCAGAAGTGTAGATATTCACAATTCTAGTTTCCACATGATAAAAGTACTAAAATACAACTAGTACCTGACACCTGAAGCTTGTAAATAAAATTACCAGCACTACTAAGTAGAGCAAGATTCAAGTTGGCTGTGAGCTGGAGTGCCAGCCTGGCCCTCTCCAAACAGGGCTGATGTTTGATTACTGAACCTTCCTGGCTACAGGAAAAGAACCACATTTTAAAAGTACTGAAAATACTCTCCACAGGATAATTCAAAGGAACACTGAAAGTACAGGATAAGCTACTATTCTCCGACTCCCCAACAGCGAAATAGTTAAGCTTGAAAAACTGAAAATCCTGGAGGCTTTTTGTTGCTAACACTGGATTATCTTACCTGCAGGTGTCCAGTCTTCCTCACTTCATGTTTTACAGAAAATTCTAACTTAACTCTTCCATGTGCAAGTTCTTTGCATCCATCTGAATCTACTCACAATTTTTTTTTTCTCCTGTAAATGGTATAAATAACAACTGCCATCCTCATGTAACCCTACTACAGATCCTTAGGGGAAAAATGCAGGCAGGATGATTGTGCTGACAATGTGAGTATGGGGGACATTAGTCCAATGTAAATTAAGCTTTTTATGCTGACATAGAAGGCTAGTGTAGTATGTTGACACTGAAGTACAAAGGGTAGAATGATTGTCTAAGTTTTTATAAAAATATTGCTATTCTAACATGTTAAAATATATTTAATTTTAATTTAACTTGAGGTAAGAAGGTCCCTTTTAAGGCCCTCAATGAGCATTACTTTAAAATATTCTTTAAGTCCCGTGGTATTGCAGTCTTTTGACTCGGAACAGGCTCTCTTTGATAAGCTCATTATAAATCTTAGTTGTTTCTTAAGGGGAATAGTGGTAGCTTTATGTAACTTCTGAATTCAAAGTCAATTAATTTGTAATAATTTCTTATATCATCCTACTGCATAGAGGAGAGAGCTAAATTACCACCATCTGCTCCATTTTGACTGCCACAGGGTAAATCTGTGCCAGTGGGGTCTGCCTTAAGCCCATAGCCAAAGCTCATCTCCACTATCTCCCAAGGTGGATCTCCAGCGACAGGCCCAGCTTGCTGGGGCAGCCTGGTCCAGCCCCAGTGCTTGGACCATAATCCTGCACTATTGCACGTGAATGCCAGGTGTTCACAGGTAGCTACCTGGGATTTCCAGGAATCCTGCACATCAGGACAGCACTCCCCTTGCCTCTGTCGGACACCAGGAAGAAGGCTGTCTGTCTTAGAAGGGCTCTGAGGAATCATGGCTGCCATCTGCATGCCATGCCTAAGTACTAAATTGCTAAGGATTGCTCTGGCAGAGGCTAGCTGGTAAATTGTAACTAGGGAGGACGTTCAGAGCAGGTAAAGAACCATCCTACTGTAGGTATTGGTCTAGTTTGAGGCAAGCATCTGCATCAAGCTGGTGTAAGCATCACCATGCAGCTACTCTAGAAAATATATTCCAAGTGACAACATGGAAAACAGTTCAAGAAATATCTGGAAATAAGGCACTTACAGAAGTGAGACATTAACAAGCTGGCTACATGTTTGAACAGACATTATGGCTCAGACATCCTTGCTCTGGAGGAATGAACAGTACCGTGCATGGAAGAAAGGGCTGTTGCATGCAGAACCTGCTCTCCATTCATACTCTTAAGGCAGCATGGTGTACAAGGAAGCACAGCAGGACATCACTGCTCTAAATACTTTTGCTCTTTTATGAGTGGTATAAATAAAACTTTGGTCCATTACCACCCCTCCAGCCCTGTAAGCGTTTACAGGCTTATTTCACAGAACAGCAGCATCAAGCAAAGTTAATCCCACACAATACACGTACCCTGAGACGAGTACAATGAAATACTGACAAAAATCAAGTCTGGAGGAAAAAAGGGAAAGGTCCTATGGACTGCTTAAATTAATTTGTCTATGCAAATGCCTGTTTCTAGCTTTTTCCAGAGTAACAAATTCAATGTTTCACAATTACTTTTTGAAATGAATCCAGTAGGAAGTACGATATAGTGGAGTTCAAGTAGTATAAAGACAAGTTTTTGTTAACAGATTGTTGATGTCAAAACAGCCGGAAACCCAGGTTTTAACATTACACTTTATAGCAAGAACAAAAAAATCCCTTCACTCACTGCTAAAACACCAAAACTTTCCAGCCTGGGTATGAAAATGAACATCCAAAATACAAAGAGACACAGCATTGATCAAGTACCCAGTCAAAGACCACTTCTCTGTTGTTTGAGCTAATGGTTACTCTAAGCTTGAAGTTTCCTCCCTCGTTGCTGGAAGGCCCTAACTGCACAACTTCCATGTCAAATGTCACAGTTGATCCAGAAGTAACAGCAGGCAGTTGGTTTGTCATCTCTTTTCCATTTACAAATACTGCCCCTGAAACAGTCAAGATATCAAATGTTATTTCTCACTTTCTGAACCTACTAACATGCAACACTATTTCTTCCTATTTTTTTGCAGGCAAATAGAAATGGAAAGCAACCCTGCCACGTTCCTTTTTGTGACATCAAACAGGTTGAAATAACTGCTAGCAGAAAAAGGAGACCTGTGATCTCACCAAAGATTTTAACCATACAAAAAGCGTACATAAAAGGTGGATGAAGTTGCTCATATGCAATCCAGGGATACAAAGAACCAGGGGCTATGGGTTTTGGGAAAGAAAAAAGGGATCACATTCTTCAATTCTGTGAATCAGACTCACCGTTTGTGCTAATGCACACAGCTTTGTCCCGCTGCAAAGAATCATAACCGTTCTGCTGCTCCACACACACTCCGAGGCTGTCTCGTCTGTCTGGCTGTCCCACGGTTTCAATTCTAGCAAGCAAAAAGTTAATTCAAACCCTGAAGCTTTAAATCAAAACATACAGTGAAATACAGACAGTAATGCCCTGTCATATCAGACTTTGGTACTGTGCTCCAGAGTTTTCAACAAGTTCATCCAACCTTTTGGGGAAATCCTTGTTGAATGACCAGAAATCCCAGAAGCTTTCCCAACAGCTCCACTGAGCAATGTGTATTAATCTACACAAAACATGAATCTGCCTTCTGCAAACTTTCATCACTATTTAGTAAAATTCTCCACTGTCACAACTTAAGAGTCTTCTGAAATGATTTCCAGTTGTCTGAAACAACCAACGTGTGTAAATCTACAATTATCTATACCAGTTACTCGTCAACCTCATGTATTAAGGCAACACAGCTGTAGTTTCAGCAAGTATTTAATTATCATGACTAAAAGAGGTTTATTGAGCCCTGCTATGTTCTGCTGTAAAGGGGCAGGGGCAGAATGTTGATGTGTTTTGGTGGTGGTGGGTTGATGGGTTTGAGGGAGCATGCAGGGTTTCTGTTTGTTTTGGGTTTTTTTAATAAATCAGCTTAGTACAAATGGGTACTAAAAACAATGCCTGAAAGGGCATTTACAAGTCTGGCTTCTGCTCAGCTGCATTTAGGATTTTGGTCTTGGGAAAGAATATCCAAAGAAAAAGCAAACAAGTTGTACAGACGACCCGGGACGTAGTTCCCTTGGGCCCTAGCAGCTGAGCGAGGCTGCGTGGCTTCTACACTGAAGGGCTCTTCTGTATTTGAGTCCTTCCTCTTGTACTGCCATCTCTTAAAGGTGCTAAAACATACTTCAGGGAGAGCCTGAGTGACTCAGGAAACTCAGATGATCTTTTCTGGAAAGTAAACCAGTGGTTATTCTCACTACAGCTTGAGAGAAAGAACAGCACTGACTCGTGGTGATTGCCACCAACAGAAAAACTTCAGCAGAAGCTTTTAAGAACTGGAAATTAAACTGGGCAGTTGATTGGCATACAATGGGTTAACTCTTTCAAGACAAACAGGGAAGATAAAATTGGACCATGTTTTACTTTTGCACTCCATTAGGTTTTCAGTCCCCTGGGAATGTCACGAAGATAGCAAAAGCCTTGTACTGTAAAGCACAGAAAAAAAAAAAAGATTAAAAAAATTTAAATGTCCAAAAAGCTTTTAATTTGGAAGTGATCCACAATGTTTTCCCAAAACAACTTTAAGTGAGATTTCAGATTCATCTTGGTACTCTACATTAGATTTTAAATTCTGCCTGAGTTATTGGTGAAGCTTTATAAACAGCTATTTATCCGTAAACTTTGTGCATCAGGTAACATTAATTCATTCCATAGCTAGTTAAGGGAGCCTTTCTGGAGTTTTGCATTGGAAATACATGTCTGTACCGTAATGCAGAATTATAAACTCATTAAAAGGAATTTTACCATGTCAATCTGTATGCACACTTGCTCATTTACACAGACCCCTTTTGCAGAGCACTCCAGCAGCAGCAGGAAGGAAAACACATCAAACAAGTAACAGGACAGCGAATTCTTGGCGGGAAGAGCAATGGCACACTCAGTGCGGGAGCGTTTACATGGGAGTCAGTCTAGGACCAGCTGAAATTGCAAGTTCAGCTCTTTCACCAGCTCCAGGCTGGGGCCACATTTTTCATCGTGCGCTTCTGTATTGCTCGCACCCAGGCTGCCCAGCATTAGGGCTTCCCCCTCTGCACGGCTCCAAGAGAGCAGGCTGGGCCGCACGCCCACGCGAAGCAGCGAAGAGCCAAACCTCCCCTACACCGTAAGGAAGCAGCACAACCTGAGCACCCAAGACAACGGCCAACCTATAATTCTGCAACAGCTTTCCTCCTCTCGCATGAAGAGGACCAGGATCTGGTGCAGATCACCATTCCTTTCCTTACTAGGTTTTGGTTTTTCAGCAATTACTAGCCAGCCCAAGACAAAGAGCCCAAGTACCGCACAGAGCATCACTACACAATCTCCTAATTGTGGAGATTATCTTCACTTTACTAAGCTGATTTTTCCTATCACATTAACAAAATTATTCACCAGCCTCTATGATCCTTGAGACTTAAAATTTTTAAAAACCCACAGAACGCGTGGTAGGAACAACACTCAGTGGGGCACTGTTCGAATCCCTCCTCACCGCTTCCAACGCTGCAGAGCAAAACCTTGCCTCTGTCACTGCAGCATACGGACACTGAACCTGTTCAACCACCACCAGTTTCCATTTGTCTCTGAGCACAGAGAAGTAAATCTGGGGGCGATCACACACACTTCCTTTGCAATAGCTGCCAGTGGAGGTGTGGTGGGTTCCTCACAAAGTCAGCTTGATCTTCACATGGTGTCTGCTGGATGATCCCAAATCAGCAGCCTGGCCAGACTGGGACTCCCCACTGCAAGCAAAAGCTTCAGCGACAGCTGCAGAGCAGGTCACTGCGCAGAAACGTTCCCTTTCCTAAGGGCAGCTCCCTGGAGACTGCAAAGAAACAGGATGAGTCTTGACTTAAAGCAACGATGCTTCCTACAGCTTGTCCACATGCCTCACCTCAGACGTAACTACAGCAGTTTATCTTCAACAAGCAGATAGAAAGCACTGTGTTTATCACAGCTTCACTTTTCACTGATGAGGTATGCCTGTGTTCTGAATGCACGAGAACACAAAGCTGCTTCACAAACATCTGTAACGTGAACCTTGCTTATTTGTTTTGCTCAGCAAGCCCCTTATCCCCTTGTGAATACACTTTTCACGTTTCAACAGATGGAGAAAGCCAAGTGCCAAGTACTATATTTCCCTGCTCAGGAAAAATCTCACACACTTTCCAACAAGAAGCTACTCTTGGACCTTGGAAGAGGAACACAACCTATTTCTTCAATCTTAAGATTCGTCTCATTGCAGTTCTTGTGGACATGTGCTTGTTAGTGCTCTGCCATCCTGAAACAATCTCCTCTCAGAGAAGAGTCCACATTACCAAAATGTAAAGCAAAAGATTTTCATGTGTTACCAATAAAAAAAGATAAAAGGCATTGGTCTGAAAGAGAACCAAGGGAAACCTCAAAGTTCTGCCTTTAATTTCACAGGCATTTCTGTGCCAAGATATGTTAAATCTAGCAACAGATTTCAAAAGAAAGCTTTGGATCTTTTTATATCATCTCAGACAGGGCAACTGAATACATCCTCATAATACAACTATCTAAAGTTATGATAATTCATTATCAGGAAGGGAGAAATGAAACACCATGGAGTGAGTTACAAGAACATCACAAACAAACCCCTTAAATTGCCTTTGGGGGTTGCTGACTGTACAGCAAGTAGTTTTATCTAACCAGGGAAAGATGGAATAAAGCTTCAGTCTCTGTGGTCTGTAATTACAACTGACATATCCAGAAGAAGTTCCTCATACCCTGTTAAACAGCATCATCTCAGGGACAGGACTACAGGCAGCAAAGCTGCCAGGCTTTTAATTGTGTTCTGTGTCAAATGAAACGCTTACTTTTCACAACATCCCTTCAACTCAAGAATTTCTAATGCCAGTTTCAAGCAGTAGTCTGATCACCACTAATTATCTCAGATGTTAAAGACATCAGTGCCAGACTGTCATCCTTACCTGTCCCAGCAGCACATATAACGTTTTCACACCCAAAGTTATCAAACCACATGGATAGTCTGGGAAGGAAAAAACCCACTGACCCACGGTTAAAAAGAATCAATGGTGAGCCTCCAATGACTTCTGACCAGCCGGTAACAGCTGCTACAAAACTCGAGGAAGTTCAACATTCCACAGATTCGCTAAGCATAGGCTACATTTTATACCACCTCAGAAACTTGTTCTTGTCTATTTTAGACAGGTGCAGATCCTACAAAAACATCAGGTGTTTTCCTAAAGAGCCAGGAAGTAGAAGTAGAGAGAAGGAAGTTCAGACTTGACACAGACACACGCCCTTGACTGGGGCTCAGCTGATGTAAAACTCAAACATGCTTCATGACTCAGGTTTACACACAGTTCAGATGTAATGGATCAGAGAAGGAAGCTTGGTTCACACGAGATGCACCAGACAACAGCTACCCAGAATGTACTTGCCTGAAAGTTAATGTTTGCCCACAGAAATAAGTAGGAGCTTTGGAGTAGAGCACACCACATGACTGAGAATCGTTTCGAAGTGCTATGTTTCTTCGACTGCTCAAGCTGTAACCCTCCAAACCAGCTGTCCATTCTTCAAAGAAAAAAAAAAAAAAAAAAGCAGCATGAACCTCAACTAGACCAGCTACTGTCTGTGCAAAATAAAGTCAGTTGCAATGTTGCGATGACCACTCAGTTTACCTCATAAGAAGCTTAAGCTATGTTAAGAACAGGGGCTGGTTTTGCCTTCTTCTGATGGAGAGATTTCTTTTTCAAACCATTTGCAGTTAAAAAACATTTCTCAGCTCACAGGGTTCACCAGAATTTCACTCTTTGCTGCGATCCCTGTGAAGCCATACTGTAGGCAAAGGAAAACCTTCATGACCCACTGCCCTTAAAAATTTGCAAGTGAAGAGAAAATTTATTTTTTTCCTCTCTCCAAGATAAGAGCTCGTTATGTGCCTGTAGGTGATCAAACAATGCTTAGGTAGGGGTGAGGGACAGGAAAAAAACTGCCTCACTTCTGGCTCATCGCTGCTTCCCAAGGCTACGCAGTGAGCTGCCTGCTGGAAAGGCTCATTAACTATCACTCACTACAAAGCAAAGAATAAACAGTAGGATGAAAGGATAGTTCATCACACATTACACACGTAGTCACAGCTAAGGACACCCCATCATCATACAAAAGCAGCTCCGTTAAGTCATTCAGCTATAGACCTTCAGCAGCGCTGCACTGATGACACAGCCTTAAGACGAACAGCAAGGAAACGGTACCATGGGGAACCAGCGTGGTATGGCCGATCTGAGGAATGCTCCATGGACTCCATTCTTGTCGTCCATCTCCTCGGGCACAGACTCTGAACTGGTAATCAACGTTAGGATCGATATGCAGCACGATGAACTCTGTCTCCGAGCCGACATATACATCTTCAAAGTGACTGGCAGTGCTCTTACGATATTGCAGTCTGTAATCTTGTGGTATGAAGTCATCATCCACCTAGAGAAACATTTATTACATTAATAAAGGACCCCTCTTTTTGTCCTTTCACCTCTGAAGCAGCACATACTAGGGTAGTACTGCAGGCTGTTGTCAAAGGCCATTCAGAGTCGCAGAGTATTACAGAGCAGAAAGCATGCCTTATAGAAAATAGTATCAGTCTCTGAACCAGCTTATACAAAAAGTAGTATAAGAATGATTTGATCACTGTTTAAAAGTATCTATAGAGGAAAAAACATTTGACAGAAGGCTTTTCAATCCAGCAGAGGCAAAACAAGATCCTTTAGCCAAAACCTGAAGACAAATTTGCAGAAGAAACTCTGTGCTGATTTTTAACACCAAGGGAAATTCACTGTTATCCTTCACAAACTGTTCCAGGGAATGATTTCCAATTCTTTCATATGTCTAGGTCAAAAGAGATTTTTAAGATTTTTTTCCCCCACAAAAGCTCCACTATCCCTCAAGCATGACCAAATTCAGGGAACTCCTCTATAGCACAGAAAATCAGACCACACGTGACAATGGCGCCTACGGTTTTATAATCTGGATCCACACCCTTTACAAGGTAAGGATGGCTGATCAATGGCTGGCTGCTGCTAGAACAATACAAGTTTGTTTAACGCTGCCAAGGAGCGCAGAGCTGTCCAACAACAACAAAACCACATCAGAGCACAGCGGTGATTTACTCAAAAATAGGTTTTGTGTATGGAAGAGAAAGGCTCCTTGACTAGCTAATGCCAATATTAAAATATTTTCTCTTTCTATCCACTGCATCTCCCTAAGAACACAAACATATTCAGTGTAAAAGTGGAACAGAACAGGTTCAGCCTTATCCTGGGTCTGTTTAAGCATCTTCAAAGGGAACAAAAGCACCACCCCAGTATGAAGCTCAGTCTCGCTGAGAGTGTTGAGCTGTTGTTGCCATACAAACGAAGCACTCGGCTCCCCAGCACAGAATCCCCAGCTATGTGCGAACCACTTCTGTCTGAAACACATGCATCAGGATTTCTTGGTCATGTTTGTACAACACCATCACAGATACATTATGCTCCACTATTTATTTGTTTCGTGGGAAGAGTACATAAAGGAGGTGTTTCCTGCTTGTCCAGAACCTGGCACTTGCTTAAGCATGGGAAGCAGGGGTAGCGGTATTTCCAGCTGCCCCTCCTGACTTTTCCACACACAAGGAAGGAGACTGTGAGGTAAGGGTGTATCAGCGTGTCAGCCCTTTCAGATGGGAGCAGGCAGAGGCCAACAGCAAGAGTCAAACACACAAGTGTCACTGCCAGGCAAACACAAACCCCAGCACCAACCACAACATCACTAGATCACCTTGCCTTTAAATGAGGCCATTATCATAAAAAAAAAATCTTCTAAAGTTTCTAATTACACACTGGAGAGGACTATTCATTTGAAGGCTGTTAAGAATCTAGAACGAAAGTGGCTTTTTCAGTTTCTTTCAAGAAAACGAAAATCCGCATTATTTTCACCCAGGATATTTTACCTACCTTACACCACCGGACTAAAATACCTCCAGGCTTCTCAACGAATTCCTCTAGCTGCACAGGTGGGCGAGATGCCACAGTTCCATGTCTGAATATCTGATTTTTCAATATAGTAAGAAGGCAGTCATCCAACTGGGCAGATAAACAAGGCACGTCAACCAAGGAGGGCACTTCTGGTAAGCTGAGAAAGGAAAGTTTCACGTAATGAAAGGGGCCAACCTCTACAAATTCATATTTTGTCCGTACGCTGGAATCTGTGCAGATTTGCAAAAAGGGAACAGCTGCAGAAATTGGCACGTGCATTTCAAACTTAAAAGACTTAGAAAACATTGTGTTTCAGCCCTAACCAGACTGTCTGTTTCTCAGTAAATACTCTGAAATACAGGCTGTTCCACAAGGAGTGGTTTCTTCATTCCTAAATAAACAGCCTATGTTTCTACAGAACATATGGAGGTTGAAAACTACTCCGTTCTGTGACTGCCAGTCCCAATGAAAGTCTGTGAAACAAACAGGACAGTAACGCCTCAAATGAATCTCTCAAGGCAATGGAGCGGAAGGCTTTTGTTTCAAAGGAGAAAAGATTCCTCTGTACGGGAAGAGCACATATGCCGCTGCCTCGGATCACCTCGGTGTGTCAGTATCTTACCTATCTAGCTGAATATGTAAAGCTTTTTTTGTAAAGCTGCAAAGTTTCTCATTCTGTTGTCCCACATCTCCATCGACTGCACTCTCTCCTGGAATCAAATGGTAAAAATATTCCTGATGAGAAAATGTCCAAGAAAGGCATTCTTCGCTTCAAAGAAGAACCAGTTCTGACACGAACAACTAATTAAACATGAAGCATTCTCAGCATTTTTGCTCGACTCTTAGCTAAAAAATACAATTATAGTTAACAATATAAAGCCTATCTAGCAACTTCTGAAGCTCTCAAAGCTTCCTGTAGACACACCCCTAACAGATGTAATAATTTGCCTCAGGTCTCAGACAGGAGCAGAACTGGGGTTGGATGCCAGAAGTCAGGATTATTAATCCCTTCCTCTACCTGCTTTAAAGGAATAAAAAAAGCAAAGCACCTTCACTGAGCAGAAAACGAAAATGCGGCAGCTTAAAAGCAAAAAATAAATTTCAACCATTGTTCTGTTTACCACAACCTAAATGATAACTACTGTCATAACGAAGGAGATAATCCATGCATTAAAGTGTGGAGATAAACAGAAATCTTTTCATAAGCTTTCCATATAAAGTAGCTTCCCACACTTCAGCTTACAGAGACATACGCTCCATTCTCCTATCTGATGACTTTATGGTAATTTTCAACATAAGCAAGCTCAGTCCTTTTCCAAACGGGGGATTACAAATGTTACAAATCCCTGAAGAAAAGCATACGTCATAATTGGCAGCAGGAGATTTAATAACCACGGAGGCTTAACTCCTTTCTGACTCAGCCGCGACGCCTGCTCATTCTGACGACATAACGTAGCAATGCTCCTGCAGGGAATAGTGACCCATGGGATAGGATGCACACAGCTGGTCAGGTTCTCAGGAGATCTGATAGAAACTCATACAAAAACCAGGCAACCTTTTCCACCACCCTGTGACTGAGTAACTTGAGACTTAAAATAAAACCAAGGTGATTCCCGGCTGTCCTAGAGGTTGTGGTGCTGGAAAACAAGTCCAACAAATTTATTCTTAAATATTGTCACTACTCCTGTGAGCAGGAGGCACAGAGCTACCAAGCCAGCGTGTTCTTTAAGCGCAAAGTTCACGTCTGAGTGGAAGCTGGTAGACTTCCTACCCGTGGGAGGTTGCTCAATGCACTTTAGTTCACAAAACCGAGATCATGTTGAAAGAAAGTTAAAGTTGAGACACGAGAACAATGCAAGGAAACTGCCAACATGCTCATGGCTCAGACAGGCTCCCAGTAGGTTCTCCAGTGTGGGGAAAACAGTCAAGAGTGACATTCCTTTCTGGCTAGGTATTTAGCATCAGTAGGGTACAAACTGGCCCTTACAGTAACATTACACATGTCTATTTTTGTCTGCCTCATCTTCAGACTTTTTGGAGAAATTTTTCCCACACAGTGGCCATTCCATTCCTCATGTTCTCCACTGACAGTGAACATAATTGCACTTAACAGGAAAGATAACCTGTTTACTTCAGCTGCTATTCCATTAAGCCACAAACAACTTCCTCCAACCAACAGAGACATTTTGTCATTACTGTACCCAAGACGTATCTTATTTCAAAGAAGACTGACATAATTCTCTTTCTAGTGTGGAGGGGTGCAGGACACCTCTGCAGTGAGACATTTCCAAAGTACTTCCTGCCCTTAAGGAAAGGCTACACCCTAGGATTGGAGGGAAATACTAAAATATGGATTTGTAAGAGATAGTATTGATCAGCTCTTCACTACATCTCCCAACTTTAACCTTTTCTTAACATTTGGTTTGAGAGAAGTCCAAAATGAGCCAAATATGCTGATTGTAACAGGAACATTCCACACTGAGACACCCGTAGCAGAAGGTAGAACTAAGCCTTAGTATCAGGTCCTGCCTTACCTTCCCGGAGCAGATCATTGGCCGTACTGACTCCGTGTTCTATTAGCTTCTGGCATTCGTCCAAGGGTTTGATGCTCTCTTGTTCTATAGCATCCACTTCCTGCAGTAGTGACGTTAGTCGTTCATCCAACAGCTTCTTTAGGGTCCCTTTCAAATCATTAAAGTGTTGCTCAAGTACATCTCTGGTCAACGTTGCACTTTCTCTGATCTAAATTCAGGTAACAGGAAAGAAGGATTCGGGATAAAGGCAAAAGCCACACACATCTTATTTTTCTGAACCACCTCATCTGCATCTGTTGGAGAAACGCTGCATGTGAAGTCAGCTTTAAAAAAAAGGACCACTGGCAGCTAAACTAGTGCAGTCATTTTTAGGCCATGTACAGCAGGAAAGGAGGCAAAGAAACTAGCCCGAACAATGGGAAGAGCATATTAACTAAGCAAAATACAAACTGGGTTACAGGTGCTTCAATCGAGGAAATTTGCTTGCCAGAAAAGTCCAAATGCTCTGTAGGTCTTCTCCGTGCTGCCCCTCAAAACTGCTGTAATCCTATACAACCACCACTTTGCCATCACACACATAATCCTCATCAGAAAGAAAAAGATATCAGGCTTTTAGAAGACTATCTAGGAGCACTTTTCCAGGCCCTATCACTTCCCTGGATTTTTAAAATCCTTGTAAAGCTGCTTTCTTTTCAATTTTTTTTCCTTTTTTTCAAATAGCCACCTTTGATTTGTCTGTGCTCCAGGGTTACAGGGCAGGGTGAACAGCAAGACTGTTTTGATTCTGGAAGAACTAGACCACAGAAGGTTCTAAAAGTGCTTATTAAAATGTTAGCAAGCTTGCTGAATCTGACTTTTAGGGAAGAAAACACATTTGAACACTCCCGAGCTAAAGCTGCAAAAGTCAGAAGCAAACGTCTCCCTACGAACAACTTTTCTAAGTCACACACACAAGGAAATGCTGCAACATGCACCCTGCCTTACACGTAATTTCTAGATCTTTAGAAGCACAGACAACCAACACAGGAAGTTCTCTGGTTAGGTAAAATAAATTTCCTCTTCAAGTGATATTCATGAACGTCTGCAGCTGCCACATAGCTCAGTTTCCCTTCTCTCTTGTTATTTCAATGCTTCAGAAAAAAAGGAAGTATTTAGCTTCATGAGGGGGTGTGGCAGAGGGAGACAGAACAGTCACTTCTCTAAGCCCCTTACCTCCATCACACGCAGACAGCGATGCAAGGAGTCAGCCTCAGAATTACAGAGCCTAGCTATGCAGAAGAGGAAATGCAAGTCCCTGAACATACAGAGCTGCATGAAGCTTGTTGAGAATCGTGTGCCATTGGCCCACAAGAAAAGGATGCAACCTAAGTGATCTAAAACACTTTTCCTATCACATCAGCACACCAGTCCCCAAATAACACCACTTCTGCTACGTGAACCCCAGTCTAAAACATTCAGCACTTCTGGACACAGGGGATTCTTGGACATGTGTTGCACGGCTGATTCTTTGTGGACAAAATAGCTCGTGTCCTGAAGGTGGAAAGAGAGAAAACAGAAACATGCACACAAGCAAAGAAATTCCCCAAGAGGAAAAGGAAAGAAAGGTGAACTAAGCGCTCACAGCCACCGCAGAAAGGCAGACTGGCTCCCTCTCAATGCATTTTAAGTTATCAGGCAACTCTCTGAGATAACAAGGTTTAAAGACAGTCATGAACAATTCATTTTCTTAAGCACCTTGTGGTTTTCAAGATGACTACTTTAATGTACAGCAATTGCCCACATTCGCTCAGTAGCAGGACACTAACCTAGCAGATCTATAGCAGTTTCCATGCTAATGGAGCCTCCTTCAGAAACATCACCAGGTCACCATAGGCACATTTTCTGAGTTTGGTTTTAGTTATTTCCTCCTTTCAAAGTTGAATCAAAGATAGCAAGGCATTGGTTCTAGTCTGCAAAAACCAAAATGCTTAGAGGATGTCTTAGCAGAGAAGCCAGTCCTTCACTGGCTCTCCATAATCTCCCCACCCACATTTGCATATCTTATCACGCATCTTTAGCACAGAGTGAGTGGGTTACTAGTCCAAATGAAAACTCTCTTCTGGCTCCAGCGCACAGCGTCAGAAAAACCAGCTAACCTGGATGCATGACCCACAGAGTACGTGACCCATGGAGTTTGGTGCATGGGGACAGCACAGTTCAGGAGAGCATCCAAACTAGAGCATAAGTCATCTTGGCAGGTATCTTTCGGATGTGAGGGGGAAAAGACAGGCATGACACCCCTATAAAATAAGACTTAGCATCCCAGCTACTTTAGAACACGTAGTTCCTTCAGATATCTTTATTCTTGCCTAGGAAACCTCCTTATCATCCCAGAGTCAGGCTCGGTTCAGTAACAGACTTCTTCGACTCACACCCCTTCCTTCCTGACACTTTTACATCCATCCCCTCCCAAGCCCTCCATCTCCGGCACCTACAGAGGCAACACGCGGGTCTCCCTGCAGCGCGCACAGAATCACCGCAGCCCTCGCCCACCCCAGGGGTTCCCTCCACCCTCCCCTTTCCC